AACCAGAAATGGAAAATGCAGATATTTTATGCGCCATCTGGTTAGACTAGACGAGGGTGATGTCATCCGGTGGCATGATAATATCATAAATAAGTCAATGATAAATTAATCGGCTGTAATGCGTTTTGGCTAAGGGCAGTGGTTCTCAACCTGTTGGTCACGACCCCTTTGGTGTCGAACGACTCTTACACAGAGGTCGCATAAGACCATCGGAAAACACATATTTAGGAAGTAGCAATGAACATAATTTTTTTTTTGGGAGGGGTGTGGAGGGGGGGGGGTCAGACCAGAACATGAGGAAATGTATTATAGGGTTACGGCATTATGAAGGTAGAGAACCACTGACTTAGGGCCATCAAAGTGACGATGAAAAAATAAAGTGAGACACACATATTTGGATCTTTTCAATTTTATAAATAAATTTTGCACTATAAAATTGACTCTAGTCGTAGACTCCCATTGTTATAGTCACAAAAATATACGTTTATTAAAACAAGTTCTCACAAACATAACAGATGTGTCATCCCCTGGCAATTGCTATAAATATTTAACATTGAAAGAGATCCCAATTCATTTTCCTTCAAATTATTATTATTTTTTTTTTATTATTATTATTTTTTTTTTTACAATTCTGTTGTTTTTTCTCGGAGAGTGAGCAGAGACGAGAAGTGTGTGTATGTGTGTGTGTGTGTGTGTGTAAGTGTTTATGTGTGTGTGTTTACTTTAGACATAATTTATAAGGCCAAAGGTTCCTCCAATTTTAGTCTTCGACAATTACAAGAAGAAGGGATGGGGTCAAAAGGTCCCAACAAGTTTACAAACAACTGAAACAAGTTAATGCAAGGATTGGCGAAGACGGAGCGTGATCCGAGCTGGAGCTGGTAAAATTCTTAACAAATAAAAATTTTTATTTGAAAATAAATTATTAAACAATTTATAAAAACTTCAGCTCTACATTTCTACTACCTGATATGTTACTCCAACTCTTCTACCAGCTGTGTTGTTCCAACTCTTCTACCAGCTATGTTGCTCCAACTCTTCTACCAGCTATGTTGCTCCAACTCTTCTACCAGCTGTGTTGTTCCAACTCTTCTACCAGCTGTGTTGTTCCAACTCTTCTACCAGCTATGTTGCTCCAACTCTTCTACCAGCTGTGTTGTTCCAACTCTTCTACCAGCTATGTTGCTCCAACTCTTCTACCAGCTATGTTGCTCTAACTTTTCTACCAGTAGTGTTGTTCCAACTCTTCTACCGGCTATGTTGCTGGTACCTGCATTTCTATTGGCCCGTTAATAAGATGGTATATGTTAGTTACGATAACATACACGTCTCATTAAACCAGTGGTTCTCAACCTTCCTAAAGTCACGACCCTTAAATACATAACTGTAAAGTATATGTATTTTTCGATGGACTTAGGCGACCCCTGGGAAAGGGTCGTTCCACCCCCAAAGGGGTCGCCACCCACAGGTTGAGAATCGCTGCTTTAAACAAATTATAATCCTTTAAACCAGCGCTACCCCCACTCCCAAATATATATATATTCTTGACCCTTTGAATACATTATTTTAAGTCCTTGCCGTGATTTAACTGCACAGTAATGTGTCAATAATTTAACCATGTGGTAAAAATAAAAAGAGAACAATATGACTAACTAGGTCATAAAGGGCAGATTACCAATAAAGCTGGAAAGGGGGCCGTTAAGGAGTTAACACCGATTACCTAAATATTAATGTCTATAAAACCAATATTCAATATACATTTTTATTTTATTTTTCCAGAGCTCGGAGCAGAGCTTGGGCTAAAAAAAAAAGATCTCCTGAGGAAAGATGGAGCGGAGCACGGCCCAAAATCCTGCTCCACAAATCCTTGGTTTAATAGTTAAAGAGGAGATAAAGGGATGCTACTCAGGCTAACAATATATTTTGTGATTTATTGCAGTTGTCTCCCTTGCATATCTCTTTTAACGGTTCCAAAGAAAATTAAATATACCTTTTTTTTTTTTTTCTTTTTTTTTTTTAGAAATGTCCCTCAAAATATTTATAGTAAAGAACAAGTAACGTTCGACCTCTATTTCGGCTGTTGGGAAAGTATTATTCTTCACCTATTATTATTTTCTCCTTGTGGTACACAGACCATCGCAACTTATTTCCAAGTATCTCCGTTCTGAGTCTGAACTCTTTCTTCTTGCCAGCCCTTGGCCCTTAGTGTTGTATCTATCTATCGCTCTCCTTCTCCTTGTCAAGGCCCTTTCTCCACTTGTCCCGTGGATTCCATGGTAGAGACAAGCCCGGTAATACATTCGGACACATGAGATCGACCTGCTGTGTTCCTAATTGTTTTATTCATGGGTTATGTTTATGTAACTATTGTTCTGGTTAATGCTTACATACGGGTAAGAATATTGGGTGGGAGCGATAGGGGTGTGTTATTGTGGGGTTGTTTTTTTTTTCATAATCAAGTGGAAACTGGCTTGTTAAATACTGGGATCAATCTACTGCATGTCAATAATATTAAGGCGTGACCCCCCGGTTAAATTTTAAAAAAATAACTTGTGAATCCATTGTAAGCAGCCCAGCATCTGAGTGCATTCTTTACTCCACCTTCAGTGTTTACATAAAATCATTTCTTACTCCCCGATTATCAGAGGCGTAGTGAGGGGGGGGGGACAGATGTCCCCGGGCGCCAGCTAGTTAGGGGCGCCAAAATGTGCTTTTATATTATATTATTGGTAAAAATACTGGGTTTGAGAGTTGAAAAAGAAGAAAAGGGGGCGCTTTAAAATTGATCTTGTCCCCGGGCGCGAATCTTGTCCCCGGGCGCCAAACACCCTCGCTACGCCTCTGTCTATGGTGACACAATGCCATCCCTATCGCGCCAACTCCCTGCACAAACACTTCATTAGCATTGTTGAGCACAGCAGTTTGTGTGACCCTCTAATCTTCGTACGAGAAGTGATGAATATCTGAGAATAGGCAAATTGGAAGAATGGCATTGGTAACAAGAAAACAAAGCAAAATAGAACTTCCTAGAGAAGCACTCAATCCACAGTTTCATACCAGCCTCAGTCGCCATTTTGAATGGTGTGCCAAGTGGGGTTCCGTGACGAACATAAACAGACGGGCGTTTTGAAAATACAAACTTCCTGTCTTCCCAGCTTTGATGTCGCCCGCCGCACAAGGTCAAACTGTCACTCATCAGTACTCCGACGCCTGTTCGCGTCACCTTTGTTAATTTGCCGTCCGGGAAAAGAACTTCTTAAGCCTGTTTGACTAAGTCCAGCTCGTGTTTGAGAACCGGTGTGATTGACGGGTTTGTCCCATTCGATCAGTTGGAGACAGAATCGGTTTCAAAATAGTTTCCATTTTTGGTCGAATTGGAAAAAGTATGTTTTTTGTTTTTGTTTTTTTGTTGTCGTGTGCATCATTCTTTCGTTGTTTTACACATCCACAATGTATAACCAAGTTTTGACTTCATAGGATGGCTGATAAGAGTGACTTGTGACTTCAATGGATGGCTGATGGAAGTGAGGTGTGACTTCAAAGGATGGCTGATAGAAGTGAGTTATGACTTCACAGTATGACTGATAGAAGTGATTTGTGACTTCACAGGATGGCTAATAGAGGTGAATTGTGACCACAGAATGATTCATAGAAGTGAATTGTGACTTCACATGATTCCTTTAAAAAAAATATCTTACTATACAATTTTTCTGATTTAAAATAGATAATCTTAATAAGATAATTTTTATTCTGTCTTTCTATTCGATACAATGAAAATAAATTTGTTTATTGTAATAAAGTGAACTGTACACACCACATTACAATTTAATGAGATCAACAGAAGAATGTGTCTCATTGGTAAAGACTAGAGTGTCTTCAATATGTGTCCTATTCAGTCCTGACTGATTTTTTTGCTCTACCCATCTCTCTCTTAGTTTTTGAGTGATCTAGGCCCAATGCACCACATAACATCACCTTGTGCTCTAGGCCCAATCCACCACATAACATCACATAATGATCTAGGACCANACATCACCTTGTGATCTAGGCCCAATGCACCACTTAACATCACCTTGTGATCTAGGCCCAATGCACCACTTAACATCACCTTGTGATCTAGGCCCAATGCACCACTTAACATCACCTTGTGATCTAGGCCCAATGCACCACTTAACATCACCTTGTGATCTAGGCCCAATGCACCACTTAACATCACCTTGTGATCTAGGCCCAATGCACCACTTAACATCACCTTGTGATCTAGGCCCAATGCACCACTTAACATCACCTTGTGATCTAGGCCCAATGCACCACTTAACATCACCTTGTGATCTAGGTCCAATGCACCACTTAACATCACCTTGTGATCTAGGCCCAATGCACCACTTAACATCACATTGTGATCTAGGCACAATATACCATTTCACATCTTGGCCCAGTACATCACTTTAACATCATGAGGTACCATGACAAATGTACAGTGATTTAATGCGTCACGCTGAATAATATGGCATCAGAAGGTCACAAGCCATGCGTGTTTAGCTATAGTGCGATGTAAGTTCTCAAGCCATGCGTTTTAAGCAAGCTGGACGTAAGAAGAGGAATACACTGATGACGTAAGAAGAGGAATACACTGATGACGTAAGAAGAGGAATACACTGATGACGTAAGAACAGGAATACACTGATGACGTAAGAACAGGAATACACTGATGACGTAAGAACAGGAATACACTGATGACGTAAGAACAGGAATACACTGATGTGTCGTCCCACTATTCATTTGCCTCAATATCCTTTCATGATTTTGTTTTAAATTTCTTCACATTCCCTATAATACCACATATGTTTATTTCTATATGAAAATCATGCATAATATCGTGTGGTAATCATAAGGATAGCATATGTCGTTCTCACAAAACGGGACAAAACATAAAACACCGATACTGATAGGAAGTAAAAAACAAAAAACGCATACGATGTTGACATAATGTTTATATGGTGACATACAATAGTTGCTGTATGAAGTTTGGCATACAGATAGTTTCGGTCATGAAAAAGTAACAAGGTATTTTTTTTATGTACATGACCATGTAGTCAGTAACTATCCAATCTGATGACAGATTAGGTCGAATGGTAATTCTGTACATTATATTACATTATTATAATGCATATCTTAAACAAGCGGTTACAGAAACATCTTTAGCGATATAAAGCCTCTAATTTACATTACGGTGTTTACATGTTAATCTCTATTTTAGTAAATACAATTTTTTTTTACTCCAATCAGTCTCAATTCACGAATACGCTATATATTAATTATATAGATACACATTATGTATATATTAGGTTTTTTATGTTGAGATTTAAGACTGCAGGTTTTTTTTTTGGTTTTTTTTAGCAATTTTGGAGTTTGCCTGTTAGTAAATCTCTTCTTTCGTGCATGAGAGAAATCAACCCTATTTGTTTGATCGCTGTAAGTGTAAGCTAAGCTAAGCAAGGAAATATTTGGAAGTTCTTTCCCACCACACGTCACATAGAATGATTCCTATGATCAAATGGACGCCCATACCTACCTCAGCTGACACAGTTGTCCTATAATTTCTTATATTAAAATAAAGCCTCACAGACTACAGACTTTCATGGGGCAGACAAACACATTATCCCATACACAACCTTTTCAAACACGCTTTTATTGTGTAATTCATTTATTGCGTCTTAAAATTTAATGTAATTTTGTTTTAAATCACTGTTTTCTTTATACATTTTTTAAATATAAAAAAAACAGACAACTATTTTAACTATTTTCACATCACTCATATTACAAAACTAAATGAATCAATAGAAGAAAAAAAAAACACACACAAAAACGGATTTTTATCTAAAGCAAATATTCAAATTAATAACTTGAATAAATTAAATTCCAGCTTCCTGTACAAATTTACACATAAACAAATGTTTATTTGATGAGATGTTTTGTTTTTCTCTCCAACTGGGTTCATCCTGTGAAAGACAACTTGATTCGGCATAAGGAAATGAGTACGGTAAGTAATCGTGGGTTAAAAGTTCAATGAACCACACGTAAAAAAAACCCCACTTCATATCGAGCTATTGTAACATATTGTACATTCCCACTTTCATAGTTCGATTAATGTTTGAGTTCATGAAATGTGGCTTTTGAACAGGGTCTACGAGGCCATCAACTCGATGGATTGTGTGATGGGGCGGTGGTCCATCCCGGGCGGCGCTTCCTTCTCCTTTACGTAAGGGGAGGGGGGGGGCATTTTTCGTCGAAAGTGGCGGCAAAAATCTTGGCTCGCCCATGGCGGCTCTACCCCTAGCTACGCCACTGATAGAGTGGACCTAGGTTCGGCAAAGTTGTGGTATACTTTTTTGAAATTAGTACCTGCATACCCGGTGGCGCAAAAAGGTTAACATAGGGACCAATGATTAGTTAACATTCTACAGAAATGTTTAGGGTGTCCTCAATGGCGTAGCTGCCGGAAGTCGTGGTGGAGCCATCATCGTCCTCCTCGTCCAGGCTGTGGTTGAGCGAGGTCAAGGGCACATGACGGTGGGTATACTGTGGCGGCTGCTGGACGAGGGGGTAACCGTTGGGAGAAAGTGGCTGCTGACGTCTGTTGGAACCCTGCAGACGATCGTGGTGCCTCGCAGCGTCACGGCTCGGAGGCGCACTGATTCCTAGCGGCGCACTAATTCCCAGCGGCGCACTGATTCCCAGCGGGCTGTTGGGCTGATCACGGGGATCATAACGGGGCAGCGCTTGGGGCCTGTCCTGCTGGCTGGGGACGGAATTGACCATACCGTAATTAGGGAACACCCTCTGCTGGTGGCTCATGTACGCCGACCGCTCGGAGCCGGAGAATGTGTTCGGCTGGTTGGGCTTGAAAGTTCTAGAATGCTCCGTGTTGGAGAATGGCCGATCTGCTGAGTTGTTGTCGCACGAGAATCGAACCTTTCCGGGGGCTCTGCTGGCCTTGTCGAGGTCGACGTGTGAGGTGTAGGCGCGTGCGTTGCGAGACAGGTCAAGCAGGCTGGAGCTCTCCCTCGTGTAGCCATGGACTGGACGCGGACCTATGTTGGTTTGTACTGGGTCTCTTGGGGGCACACGGGGTGCCGACGATGAAGACAAGTTGGGGGCAGCTGTTGGGTAGAAACTCAGGGGTGGAGTGCCTGGGTGGGGGAGGAGAAACAAAACGAGAAATACATTAAAGTAATGGACAATTTCTCAGAAAAATGGAACAAAAAGTTGTAGATATAATTTATGGTGCTGTTAGAGCATTACAATCATATATATATATATATATATTATCTTCACAATCATGCACATTAATTTTTTTTGTCATTTCTGACGTTTTTTTCTTCTTTCCTTTTCTTCTTCTTCCAGTCAGAAATAGATTGTAGCACTGATTTACCACAAATGGGTGTGTATTAAACAACCAAAATTAACTTTTTTTTTTTTAAAATGGTGGTCAATACATGGTCTTTAGCAGTATTAAAATTAGCATCCTACTACTGCTCCTGCTAATGTTTCATAGTTCTACAATATCCAAGCGATAAATAAATTTAAAAAAATTACTTTAAAAAAAAAGTTGTTTGGGATTTCTGTCCCTTACCTCCAGACCCGAGCTCCTCCACGTCACTGGCACCTTTGCCACTGTCACTCGTGGTGACGTCACCGGAAGAATCGCTGTGGTGGTCGTCACTTGTGGTTCTTTGTTTCATCTTATTATTAGAAAGAGAAAAACAACACTCCATAAAATAACAATAAAGTATATATGACATAATGTAATATTGTGTTAAACAAGAAACAGCTCAAGTAAAAATTTGTTTCAAAGATATTTTTTTTTTAATCGATTTTCTTTCTTTCTTTTTATCAAGTACATGTAAGAACCAAACATATTTGCCTGTCGTCGTTTGAGTTTAGCGTTGTTGATCCAACAGATCTTTTAACATTGCCGTCTGACATTCAAGGGACCGGGATTGGTTTGTAGAGCGAAAATTAAGAAAAAAACCCCACAAAATCATGAAACTTCTTGTTGTTACAAGTTGTAACGGCCAACTGTTTGTGTTTTTTGACAGTACCCACACTATCAAAGGTGCACAGTACCCACACTATCAAAGGTGCACAGTACCAACACTATCAAAGGTGCACACACTCTCACAAGTGCACGTAGTATTACTTTGCAAACCAATAAACTTAAGTGTAGAATAATATTTTTGTTTCAATTCAGAATTATTTCGCTTTAAATTCCACTTCTATTTTCTTTTGATTTAAATGCTACTAAACTATTTTGAGCGGTTAGATATTTAGTTGACTGAAAATTCTCAAATGTTCCTTAATCATGACCTTTAACCCCGGATGTTTTTATACGTTATAATTATATCAATCCATCAATATTTTGTGCTTTTTTAAAGGGCTGAGTGGTTAAAACGGTTTTTCGTGAATAGCCCCTGGTACCAAACCCATTAACCCAGGAAACGCAGCCTGCGCCCCCTCTCCTCCTTTACATCTCCCCGCTCCTTTGCATCCCTCCCCCTCCTTTACATCCCTCTAGCCAAGACACTGAGATCAGCGTGACCCGTGTCCCGGGCAGGCAAGACATCGATCTATAATCGATTATCGATAGCGGCTGAGAAATGAAGCCAAGTGATTCGACGCCATGTTTGTTGTGGGCCTTAGCTACACACGAGATGCTGGGTGCAGACTCTGTTTACAGGCATCCAGAGATGCGGTTTAAAAGCTGAGATGGGAGTATATGAGGTGGGAAATCAACAGTGGATAAAAGTGGATGACTTGTTGGGTTGGTGGATTAATGGCTCGAAGGATATTTAAAGGGTTGATGGGAGTACTGGGATTGGATAATTTTATGGATAAAAGGTTGGATAGATGAATGATGAGCTGCGTTGATGGACGAAAGAGTAAAAGTTTGGGATGGAAAGTAAGAGGGTGAGAATCTAATGATGGGATGAAAAATTAATGGATCAAAAGAATGGATGGTGTTGGATATCTCCATTTCTCGCCTACAACACTTAGTGACTTTTGATAGATGATTTAAATAAGCTCTCAAGGAACTGATTTAATGTGACGCTGATGGTGTATAACTTAAGGAAGGACAAAAATAAAAACAAAAAAGAAAGAGGTGTGTGTGTGGGGGGGGGGGGTTGTATGCAGGTAGCTGATACAAAAATAAAAACAAAAAAGAAAGAGGTGTGTGTGTGGGGGGGGGGGGGTTGTATGCAGGTAGCTGATCTATATTAGATCGATAATTCGATAAGCGCATATTTCTATCGAATGTTAATTAAAATGGCATAATTCGATACCGTTATTTCAATCTGCATACCCAGTTCAGGGCAAATACAATGCCACAGATCTATATGTACGTATTCCAGTTAGAGGCATGTAAAAGATTGTTTTTTTTTTTAAAAGAACATTCAAAGAGCATCTTGACTTGCGGGCGGTTCCGTCTGACATTTTCAACAAGCATTTTATAATGTTAACGATCTTTTCCTAAAGTGTTTACTGTTTTGATCATGAGAGGTCGATACCAGCCTCGTTTTGAAGTAATTGATTGCCTAAATGGAAAGACATCGCTGTGGTTTGCCGGGTTGCCAATGGCGACCGACGTCAACAATTGTTCTGCATGGTACGTTTCCGCGATTCGGGTTTAAGATAACGCATTAGGGATTGAATGATTTTTTCTGGAATCTTTAAGGGAGAGACATTTTGGTTTCTGTTTTAGTGTAGTTTATCGTTAACTGGATGACGCATTGAAGAAAACATGGCCTTTTCATCGTTTTCACGAATTATTTTAAAATTATTCTCTTAAGTAAACGCTAATCTTGCTTACCATTTTGCACTCATAACGCACGATTATACTCTGTTTCCGAAATAAGGCAGTTTTAGTGCAAGAACTAGTCATTTGTGCAAGGATGAGAACTGCGTTGTTACGCACTTATAGTGCTGTCGTTTAAAGATAATTGATGTTGTATTTATTTATGATAGCAAATCACGTATAAGCTAAATGATATTATTTTTTTCCGGTATTAATCAATATATAAACACCGTGTGACGCCATTTGGACATGTAGATTTTAGTTCCGTCCATGGAGGGAGGTTCATGAGTTATACATCTTAGAGCATTAAATGGTATTCTGTAGGGAGTTAGATGGTATCCCGTAGGGAGTTAGATGGTATTCTGTAGGGAGTTAGATGGTATTCAGCGGGACACATGAGTTAATTTAATTCTGTTATTTCGACTATATAAAGATGACACTGTGAACATGATAACATACGCCTCAGATAACTTACGTCGGTGAATAAAGAAAATGCCGGATGCTCAAACGAGTCGTGGGTCAAGGACGGGGCCTGCTTGAACGTGTGATGACTTCCGCCGGTCTGGTTGCTTTCGAACGACGTGTTGGGGTCACGACCTTTGGCCTTGCCCTCCCCGAAACCAGCCTCTTTGTCGGAGTTGGCCATGACGAATCCGGGGATGTTGTGGAGCTTGACGACAGCCTCGTTCTGGAAAGGGATGTTGCGGTGAGGGGCGTCTTTCCTCTTCGCAGCGGGGTGAGAGCATCTCGCGACGTCCGTGCGCCTCAGTATGAGGATAATCGCCACGATGATTATGGCGACGACGAGCGTAATGCCGGCAATGATTCCAGCCATGATGACGTACTTCTGGTCCATGTTCGCCTCGTCGCTGTAAATGGTCGCGTTGGTAAAGTCTATTTTCAAATAGAGGAAAGTTTCGTTGTAAAGGCGTGGATTTCCGCCATCTTGGACGGAGATGGTCAACCGGTGCTCGCTGTTCGGGAACTGCGTGAGCCGCCTGGCCACATAGACGGCGCCGGTGGAGTTGTCGATGCTGAAAAGTGATTGCTGGTTGCCCTCGGCGATGATGAAGAAAAGCTTTGCGTTGCTCTCCGTGTCCCCGTCGACGGCGTTGACCTGCGAGATGACCGTCCCCGGAGACAGGTTGGCGCTGATGTTGATGGTGTCATTCCCAGGAATGGGGAAAAGTATTTGCGGGGAGTTGTCGTTGTCGTCGGTGATGGCGATGGTGAGGGTCGAGGAGCTGCTGAGCGGCGGCGTGCCCCCGTCGGTGACGGACACGAAGATGGTGTAGCGGTCAAGGCTCTCCCTATCGAACATCTTGGCGGTCGTGATGGTTCCCGTCTCGGACACAAGAAACCCTCCGGCAGGGTCGGACTCGAGTTTGAAGCTGCACTGTGCGTTGACTCCTTCGTCTCTGTCGGCCACCACGATCTGGGCAACGAAAGCCCCGGGCGCCTGGTTCTCTTTGGTCTGGTAGACGGTCCTGGTGAATCCAGGGGCGTTGTCGTTCACATCACCCACGTTGACTGTTACTGTACCGGTGCCCGTCAGGGTGGGCGTGCCTTTGTCGACGGCCAGAACGGTCAGAAGTATCACAGAGGCCACTTCTCTGTCCACTGGGGACAGAAGGGAGATCCATCCAGTGAAGGGGTCGATGGTGAAGGCGTTGCTGGAATTGGGTGTCAGCTGATAGGTCAGCTCTTTGTTCATGCCCTCGTCGGCATCCGACGCGGACACCTGGATGATATTTGACTTCTGCTGGATATTTTCAGAGATACTAGATGTGTAAGCTGAGTCTCCGAAGACAGGGCTATTGTCATTCACATCTAAAAGCAGAACTGTGAAGTTTACGAATCCTGATAGGCCCGGTGAGCCCCCATCTGTGCATTTGAGAACTACGGTCATCTCGTTCTGGGTCTCCCTGTCCAGCTGACTCTTTACCACTATAGCGAATCCGTGATCTTCAATTGTTTTAAGGTCAAAGAATGAGTTCAAGGACGTACAGCCGACCACCCCGTCATTGCCTTCATCGTTGTCAATGTACTTGAGTGTCCCTATAAAAGATTCAACAGGCAAATTTTCTGACAGGAGGGTGCCACCTTTGATGTAAGGTTCAGCAAGTGTAAGGGACAGTTTCGGGGGCGTGTTCCCTACATCCAGGACGTTTATAATTAGGTTCGCCTGTGACGCCCCCGGTGGCGACCCGTGATCCTTGGCCTCCACGACGGCTTGGAACCTCCCCATCGACTCGTAGAGCAGCTCCGCCTTCACTGTGACATCTCCCGTCTCCGGATTCAACGCGAACAGCTGAAGTATCTTCCCGGAGGTGAGGGAGCTGAACTGATACGAAACACGACCGTTCTCCCCGGCGTCTAGATCAGTGGCGTTTATGGTCCCCACCTTGCTGCCGATATCAGCGGTCTCCAAGACTGTGAGGTCGAACAGCTTCTGACTGAACTGAGGGCTGTTGTCGTTGATGTCGGTGACTACGACGGTGACGGACAAGGTCCCCGTCAGGGCGGCGCTCGTGTTGCCATCCTTGGCGTAGATGAGGAAGCTGTACCGGCTTTGCCTTTCTCTGTCCAGGTTCTGCAGCAACACAATCTTCAGCACCGATCCGTCCAGCATCTTCTCCTCCTTGAGGTCGAACACCGCGTTCACGTCGATCCAGTACGTGATGGTTGACGCGAGTCCGGCGTCCCTATCAATAGCCCCGGATATCGGCGTCTCGCTTCCTCTCTGGGCCGCCTCGGATATGCTGAGCTGCAGGTTGCTTGTGGAGAAAGTCGGCGGATTGTCGTTGATGTCCTCGATGATGACGCCTACGTTAATGACCTTGATGACCGAGACGTTCAGTTGTACGGTGACGTCAAACTGCAGGCGGCAGACAACCGCGGACGAGTCGCAGACCTGCTCCCTGTCAATCATGGCGCTCGTGAACAGCGCCCCCGTGCGACTGTTGATGGTGAACAGAGACGAAATCCTCAGCCCGTCTGAGCTCAGTATCTGGTACTTGAGCCGGTCGAAGTTCTCTGGTGTCACCTCCGATTTCAAACCGCTCTCGTCAGCGACGTTTCCTATCAGGGTATCGGCTTTTTCTTCCTCCCGTAGACTGAACACAATGCTCTTGCTGCTCTGTGAGCAAACGGGAGCCAGTAATGTCACCAGAACAAAGAGAACGCACCGGGAACGCAGTAGCGAGTGATCCATATCGAGTTGCCTGTCAGTTTAAGAGAAAATTGGATTCATAAAAGTTTGTGGCCGAACCAATCGGTTGTTGGTTACAGAAGGTACGGTATCATGCTTGGATGAACGTATTCTTTGGTTGCTTGTTATGATACTAGAGACCGCTTGTTACGTTAATGTTACTTGAGACAATCTTTCTGGAAAAAAAAAAGAAAAAACATAATTGATTTTTGAGAAAAACATCAGAATTTGTTTTCAAGGATTTACATCAAAACACAATTAACGCTCAAGTCTGCAGTTGCTTTGACAGAATCCTCCTTATAGCGGTGGTTTTTTTAAAATAATTTATTGTAATTAATTGAGTGGAAAGGAGACACTATATTTATCATTTAAACATACATTAATGAGGTCATATGTAAGTAATCTAGAACTAAGATTTCTTAAAGCGTTTAAGTTAAGACTAGCTCTATAACATACGTATTAAATGCAAGTTATGCATGTTTCATTCCTGTTTCTAAGTTTAAGTACACTAGTTGTATTGGATTTTGTTTACACCATTTTCGAATGCTCTATTTGCACAACTTTTCTGTCGAAGGTCGTAGCTTTCTTTTTTTGTTTTTTAAATAACCATTTTTAAGAAACAGAATATTTCAACAAAATTCAGAACGTGTCTGATACACCGGAAGGCGGGAAACGGCACAGCTCGAACAGCGCGCGATAGATCGAGCTTTGCTGTTCTGACCTTTTCGTGCGTCGACCTCGTGATCAAAACTTCCCCAGACGATGACATCTACTTTATTTGTACTCTTGAGATTGTTCGTTTTGTCGGCTGAGTGTAGATCTCATGAACAAACCGAAATTTGTTTCAACTCAAAAATGATGAAAAAAAAAAAAAATGGTGTCGGATGGATTGGGCATCTCCCCCCACCCCTCCCTTCCCTCGTCTGTTTATAGGTTAAACGTGTATATTTGTATTGCCAGATGTCGAAGCGTCCGAGCCTTTCCCATAGTTCCACAAAACCTCTTACTGCCCGGGCCTCATTCATCGCACTAACAATTCCGCGTCTCGTGTTTGCCGGTGTGTATTTTAGCGCCATAAAATAATTGCCAGCCAGGAAGCTCCCCATCGTATCTGCCACCACGTGGCCCACCAGACGGCGCATGGCAAGCCCCGACGTTTACATTTTACGTCAGAGACCAAGTACTCAACACCGCCCCCATTCGATGTGCAGCCCCCGGCTCAGGGATGCCCCAGTGTTTACGTTAAGACAGGAAGAGACGAAGATTTGGCCGCGGGAGAAAAGTTGAGTTAAAACTAATATTTAAAACCTTGGACAATGCCGACCGACGTCTGCCCCGGCGTTCATGGTGGGTGAAAGTCGGTTGGTCACGCACTGTAAAACTGACATCCTGCTTCACTGAGTTCGACAGGCGCAAGCGAAGTCGTGAGAGATGTATAACCGTTGCTGTTCATCTTAGTCATGTGTCGAGAAATGTCGGCAGGCCTTCGACCTTTGTTACCGGTCGACCTTCTTGATGAAATCTCTAACCAACTCTTTCTTTAGCTTTTAACCAACACCAACCAACCCACACAACAAATTTTCGTTGGAGGCTAACTTGAGCATATTTCTTTACTGCATTGATTTCATTTTAACAACCAGGATGGTAGTAGCATAATTTCCCCCATCGCGTAAGGTCTGGTACGACACTTCTTTCAGCCCGAGTCTGTCAAAGCTTTTAAAATTATTTGTAATATATATATTATTTATATATATATATATATTATATATATATATTATATATTACAAACTTCAAATACTAAATTAGAAGTTTTAGAAGTTCAAGGAAATAAACTCTTACTCACGGGGGTGGGAAATTGGTTTAACCAGTTGTGTTGGTGAAATCGTAACGCTTTGGAATACACACGCTTAGAAAGGGGGCAGACGGAGTGCCCCCACCCAATGTTCCCTCTAAGGTTTGTTGGTTCGTGCGCAACATCATACAGTTGTGTGCAAAGTTTTACAGCTTCAATATTTTTGTGCGCACAATTTTACAGCCCACTCACTTGCGTGGAAATTTGCTGCGCGTTACTCAAAACTGCTGCGCGGCGTATGTGAGATAACTGCGCGGCCACTCAGTCACGCAGCTTAAAGGGAACATTGCCCCCACTCCGGGTGGACTTTGTTACATATGTTGAGTTGAGGGGGGGGGGAGCGGTTGGAAACTGCAAAGTTTTATTATGGCTGGGTCCACAAATAACCCCCCCCCCCCCGAGGACGACACTAACTCTGCCACACCACTGACAAATTTGCATGGAATTTGTCTGCCGGGGATTTGTCTGAAAGGTATTTTCCCGCAGGGTATTTCCCTAGAATATTGAGGTTTACAACTTAACCACTCACGACTTCAAGAGTAGAACAATTAGTTCCGAAACATAAATGTCTCGTGAGCCGGAAGCAGATTTCTAACCCTGCATGACCCCATTCGACTACTGTGACATAAGAAGTGTTGAAAACCTCAGGCAAAATCTGGAGTCATTCCTCATCTTATGCCCAAACACGGCAAGACTTCTTCATAAAGTATTTTTTTTTCATATAGGAACTGTCTATTCACAAGTAACGTTCTCACTGATTGTCAAAGTTGACAAGGACACTGACACCGTGGGGATCACGCATGACAACGGTGACCCGTCTTGCCTCTGGCAGGGGCGGAATCTGGCAGAAGTTATCAACACGGTGAGATTAAAAGTTAAAAACTTAGTGTAATCCTAAAACACGACGTTAAAAGAAAAATCCCCGAAAAATGGCGTAGCTGATAGAGAGAAATTTCTGTAGATTCGTTTTTTTTTAGAACATATTTTCCTGTGGGGGTAGTTTGGGGGGGGGGTCGACTTTAGAAGACGCTTTATTGGGTCCTCTCAGAAGGCCAGATAAATAGGGGCCAGAAGGCCCCTATTTCAAACCTACCATATTGGATCTCCGTTTGGTTTATATTTTTCAATGAGTTATCGTGTGTGTATTTTTTTTGGTTCTTTTTTTTATGTGGATGCCTGTGGGTCCAGCAGTATGCATGATACGGAAAAAAGCGAGTGGCGGGCCCTTTTGAGGGACAAAACTTTTAATAGCATTTTAAATTTAAAAAAAGCAAAAACATTTCTTTAACTGTATCATGCAAATTATTATTTCAGGTGAACAGTTTTTTAGAAAGAAAAAAAAAATGTATATCACCGCGCAACTGTCGATGCACCGAGTTAGATGGAAAGATACTGCAACGCACCCTTTGTGTAGAGATCGCCTGTTGCGTGGAAGGAAGGTCACCTTTGATTTTAATTACCCCGCTCGCTACATGGTATGCGTTGGACTTTATATAAGGTTTGGAGAGGGGTGGGGGGTTGAAAGGGTGGAGGGGTGATCGGGTTTTAAAAAAAAATCAAGGTTGTTGTCTGGTAAAGAAAGGAGGGAAAGGGGGGTGAGGTTGGCAGACTGGGAGAGGGGGGGATCTTGATTCACGAGCTTGTTTTTGAAGTAAGACATTTGCAGCAGGAAACCCGTCAGACCTGACACTCGGCTGCTGGGACTCGTGTTCCCCCCAAGCATCAGCCGAAGTGAAACAAGAGTGCTGTGAACCCCCTGAACCCCCTTCCCAATCTCCTGGCTAGTATAGGTCATAAGAACACGCCAGGGCCTCCTACTTACTCCTATGATGTATGCGCATCTGATAGACGCTTGTCTCAAACTTCTATTATGAATTATTATAGTTGAATTTTCTCCCGAGAACCGTGCTGAATTGCACGAGGGGGTGAAATGGGCTGACAGGAGTGCTGGGACTTGGTAGATGATGGGTTATTCTAAATGAGACCGTGACGAGAAATGAGTTTTATGATTAACTTGTGCATTGTCTTGGAGGCTTCAAAGAAACATGTAAAGGGGGGGGGGTGCGTGCGTGGGGGGGTGCGTGCGTGGGGGGGATGCGGCGTGGGGATGTCATGATACATAGTGGCACTAACGTTTTGTGTTGTATCCATCATTTTGGCGGAGGACTTTCTTTGCGACTTTAACTTTTCGACTTTGGTAACGCAAGAAAACTTGGCTTCGTGGTTCTGAGACTAGACTGTGACGGCGCGATACGGGTGGGGTGGGGGGAGGGGTTGGTAGGGGAATGCGAGTCTAGACAGTGAGCAACCATGGAATGTATGACGTGGAAATGCTTAAATAAAACAATGACTATTAACAGGGAGTACACTTGGAGCCTAGAAGGTAATCAAGCTGGAAAATAAGCAAAGAACTCTTAGCATAGCACTCACAGGTGGATGCACGAACAAGAGCAGCCAATGTAATGAGATGCGATCCTGTGTAATGACCGGATTAACCAACTCACGAAACTATTGATTAATTCCAGGTGTGTGTTTGTGTGTGAGTGTGTGTGGGGGGGGCAGAAAAAAAAAGGGGGGGGCAGAAGCGAGCTTAGTTGAAATGAAACAGAACCCCAAAACGAACACTCACGTGTTACACCCAACAATTATCTGTTTTTCTTCCCCAGGGGATCCTAACCCCTAAACCCGGGCGGGCGTAACTACTGTAAGTAATGCTTTGAGTAAGCGCAACAATAGTGACTTTATGGGTTCCCGGGGAACAACGAGCCAAGGACCCACACGAAGACGTACCAAGAAAAATAACAATAGGTTTCTCACAAAAGGTGGTTTTATCTCCCATAACCCGGTTGTGTAATTGTGCAGATCAGGCGACACAACTCTCTCTTTTCTCTAGCCAGGGGAGGGGAAACAACTGTTTACTAGCCTTGGTTTCAACAGCGTTAAATGGGCAACATAAACAAGGAAGCGTCATCACACGAGTACACAGCACATGTGTACACGAAGCGACGTGCTGTCTGTGTGGCGTCATCACGAGTGCACAGCACATGTGTACACGAAGCGACGTGCTGTCTGTGTGGCGTCATCACAAGTACACAGCACATGTGTACGCGAATCGACGTGCTGTCTGTGTGGCGTCATCACGAGTACACAGCACATGTGTACACGAAGCGACGTGCTGTCTGTGTGTACAGATGTGTGGTTGGGAAGAAACATAACGGCACAGACGACAACAACAACAAGAGCAACAACAAAAAGGAGAGACATGTTCGATAGAAGCAATTGTTAGGACACGTTAGATGCCCTTTAATCGTGTGCAGAGAAAAAAATATGTAAAAAATGGCATAGATATATATTGTGTATCTTGAATTTTTTTTTTTTAAGCGTGATTACAAACCTAAGTTAGAGAGATGCAGTGTAAATATGCACCAAGAAGCATCTAACAAAAATATGTAAAGTGTAAGCAATGTTCCCTCTAAGGTTTGTTGGTTCGTGTGCAAAATCATAAAGTTGTGTGCACATTTTTACAGCATCAATTTTTTTGTGCGCAAAATTTTACAGCCTACAGACACAAACACACACTTAAGTGGAAATTAGCTGCGCGCTACTCAAAACTGCTGCGCGGCGTCTGTGAGATTGCTGCGCGGCCGCGCAGCCGTGCAGCTAAAGGGAACATTGAGTGTGAGGCATTATTAATATTAATATGGTAATATGTTAGTAATGAAATGGAATTATCCAAATATTTCTAAAGAAACGCAACCTACACCTTGGTCGACCGGCGCTATTGCCAGGGCAATGAATCAAGCATGGGAATGTGGTGGATCAACATTTACTTTTGGAAAATAAAACTGATCAACATCCCAAAGCCAAAACACATCTTCTTCAATTTACTTCACGACGACGGATCTCGACCAATGTTCCCTCTAAGGTTTGCTGGTTCGTGTGCAAAATCATACAGTTGTGTGCAAAGTTTTACAGCCCACAAAAACAAACACACACTTACATGGAAATTTGCTGCACGGTACTCAAAACTGCTGCGCGGCGTCTGTGAGGTAGCTGCGCGGCCGCGCAGCTTAAAGGGAACATTGATCTCGACCCATTTTTCTGACAGGAATATCGCAAGATTAACTTACAAACTATAAACCAATGATATCAATTTTAGTTTAGCAGTTATTTCATGAAAAGTTGGAACCATTATTGTCATCATATTATCACGGTTATAATATTAATATAAATGTGTTTTGAACTTCAACTATAACGCAAGATATTTTAAACCTGCATTGTTAGAGCGCAGAAATGTTAAAATGCTTTTTAAAAAAAATTTAAAGTCATTAGTGTTAAGCCATGCATGGACAGTTTTTTTTTTTAAAGCCATGAGCATTACGGCAACACCTGTGTCCCTTGTTCTTGGTGTCTGAGTTCTCGATTTGAGGTCGTGAGAAATGTGTTTTTATCATTATGTGCGTGTGTGAGTAAACGTCTGTTTATATTTGTGTGCGTGTTGTGGGTAAGTAAGTGTGTGGGTAAGTAAGTGTGTGGGTAAGTAAGTGTGTGGGTAAGTAAGTGTGTGGGTAAGTAAGTGTGTGGGTAAGTAAGTGTGTGGGTAAGTAAGTGTGTGGGTAAGTAAGTGTGTGTGTGTGTGTTTTTTTTCATACTCCAGTCTAAAGAATGAGTGGCGTTCGTTTAAATATTCGTTTTCGCGAGGGAGAAAGTTATCCATCACATGATTGTAAATGTCTTCGATTTTTATAATCCAAAGCTCTAAGCGTTTCCGGTGTCCTTGACCGATTAGGTCAAGGTTGTGACGAAGCAAAGCTAGGACATCGAGACTGTACCACTGCTACCTTTTTTTTTTTTTGGGGGGGGGGATCCAGAACAAAAAAATACTGAAAACTCTAACCCAAAGTTCAGTTAAGTCACGTGGTACTCATTTGTTCACAGAATAAATGTGCTAAAATTAAATTTATATTATAACAAGACATATCAGAAAATGTGGGAATAAATTTTAAAGGCTAAAAAAGGAAGACCAATTATTTTAAAAAGATAAATAAAAGATAATAAAAGATCAGCTACTCATTCGCCACCGAGAAGTCGGTGCATCGTCATTTACAGTTTGTAATTAAAATAAATTAGTTGTTTTTTTTTTTTTCCTCGTCCCATTCACAGTTTACGCTGCGATTCTCAAATCAAACTCTCAGCAGACGAACGCGCCTTCTACCATAAACCACTTGATCCGAAAACAAACCACACCAACCTTGAGTCACACACAGTCCCCCCACCCTCCCTTTCCCCACCCCCACAGGTTTGCGCCCCGTGTTTATTTTAACTTCACCCCTTTAAGCAAAAAAACACAATTCTCAAACAACAGCCTCGCTTGTCCCTCACATGTTTTTTAAAGTCCACCTGTTGGTCAAGTTGTGGACGTCACAAGTCCCTGTTTGGCCTCATGTCCCGGGGTTAATTTGGCCGGGACAACGCGGACGTGACGCTGGCACGCCGGGAATATTTGCCAGTGTTCTTGACGTCCGCCTGGCTGTTGAACAGCGCGTTGCCTACTTGACAGCCAGGGCCCGGGATTAGAGCAGCGCATTGAGTAATGGGGTTCATGCAGACTTAGGGGAGACGAGGGGTGTCGGAGTCGAACTTGTCTGGTCGGAGTCGATCTTTTTTGGATGGAGTCGATCTTTTTTGGTCGGATTGGGAATTTTTAGGTCGGAGTCGAACTTTTTTTGGTTGGAGTCATAATAAATCATGACATTTTATCTGACTTGGGAACAAACCGCCGATGTCATTATCGAAAGTCTAAAGCCTGATAAGGTAACGGCCAACAGCCAATAGAAAACAATGCAGACCGTTTGGTGTGTCCCTAGTCTCTAGCCACATAAACCTCACTACTGAAACAGTTTGTGTACCAAACAAACATAAATTTTAATGTCAGTGAGTTCATGTTCCAAGCTATGGGGCTATAGATAGTGTTCCACCTGTAAGGCAACCTGTACGGCAACCTGTAAGGCAACCTGTAAGGCAACCTGTATGGTTATATGTATTGTTCAGGATCTATTATCTTATATATTGTTCAGATACTCCAAGTACAGCTTATGTATTGTTTAGATACTTTAACTCAAGGGTGTCAAACTCAATCGCTCGACGGAGGACAACTAAATCACGTGTAAGGATGTGGTCTGAACAGGTTAAACTTTCAATAAGCGGAAAATTAATCTTTGAAAATAAAATTATATTAAGAAAACTGAAAAAGTTTTAATAATTAAAATCATTGGCATACCCATTTTCTTGGCCATAAAAACAAATAAGTTCGTTTATGTTGGGAGTAACGTTCTGTGTCATTGAGATTCTCATGATGGACTGCAAGTGTTCACCGGTGAGACGACTCCTGTTTGATGTCTTGTTAATCGTCATCACAGAAAACAGCTGCTCACAGATATATGTGCTACCAAACATGCTCAAGGTTCGAGCCGCATGTAGACGAAGCTGGGGCATCTCTTCAGAAATGAAACGAGTGAACTGTGCAGGTTCAACTGTGACCTACTTTGCCTTCAGTGTCACACTACACTGCAGCTCTATTAGCTCCATCTGCAAATTTGCAGGTGCAGTTTCCACGGCTATGACAAATGGGTTACGAAACAGCTGGAAATTACATTTCTGTGCTTCTAAGTCACTAAAGCGCCGCGCGAGCTCGGCGCCAAGTTTCTCAGCAAGGTGCGCACTGGGAAACACCATAGCGTTGACTTGGATATAATTGTACGCCGGTCAAGACCTCGCGGGCCTGATATAATCGTACGGCAGGCTGGATGTGGCCCGCGGGCCTGATATAATCGTAGGGCGGGCCGGATGTGGCCCGCGGGCCTTGAGTTTGACACATGTGCTTTAACTGAAGTGTTGCTATAGCCCAACAACATGAATTGCATATTTTTAACCAGAAGCCCGCGTTAAACTTGCATGAGGATAAATAAGGAAAACACACACACACACACGATTTGTCTTTCAGTTTAAAAACCACTCGTGTGTGTGTTCGCCAATGTTCTGACAAAAACCACTTCCCCAATGGTAACACATGGCATGATACGCGCACACAGACACACAGCATAATGTGTCATTTGATATCATTGACTCCGGACTACCTTTACCATATAGCCTTGTGTCCAGGCCCTGTGACGTTTTTTTGGCAAAAGTTTCTGTCCTTTAAATTCACATCACAATTCAAGGAAGGTCACACGGAGTATTGCTGTTGTCGGCGAATACAATATTTTTTTTTAAAAATAATTTAAACACATAATGTCGCCGTGCCCTGGTACAATGTTGTCTCTTCGTCTCGTGTCTTCTCAGACCATAAAAATAATGTAGAATAATCTTCAGTCCCGGCAGACATTTTAATGGGAAATTACGCCATGTTTTTAGCACTATCTCCAGCCTTAAAGAATAGAGTTCGATCAAACATTTTCATACAATGTTTTCGTTTTGTTTTGAATGTTCAAACTGAAGATGAAAGTGTTCAAACTGAAGACGAAAGTGTTCAAACTGAAGATGAAAGGGTTCAAACTGAAGATGAAATGTTTAAACTGAAGATGAAATATTTAAATTGAAGATGAAAGTGTTCAAAATCTTACCCGTAGTCTTATATTTCATTTTTTGTAATTATTAACTTTCAAATCAATTAGCAGTTGATTTCAATTAAATCTTACATTTAGCTTACAAGCGTAGTACATAATCAAGCCATAATAAACACAGACATTACTAAACGACTGTATAATTAATAAGCCATGATTAATGAGACTTTCGTGATACATTACACGTGTGGAAATAATTTTTATTTGGGCAGTTTCATTAGGTCTCAATAACTTAAATGCTTTCCTAAATCAACCATTTTATTTCCTAAATGAAACTTTGATTTCAAGTTGTGTGGATGCTTCTCATATTTAACTGTCATTGTGTGTATATATCTGTGTGTGTCTGTGTGTGTCTGTACGTGAGAGAGAGAGAGAGAGAGAGAGAGAGAGAGATAGAGAGAGATAGGGGGTGGTGTTAATGTATTCAGGGTTGGAGAAATATTTTCAATGCATGTATACATTCATTTTTTTAACACGACAGCCATATGCGCTGCTCCTGGCACACGTTCGGAATACAAGGAGCGCCAGGGAATGAGACACACTATATTATATTCTACATGAACATGAAGGGAAATCAAAGAAAGAACTGAGTACCAAGCCTTAGTTTTTATCAGAGCCGGCGTCGCATTGAAAGGATTTGAAGAAAACAAAAATCGATAGGACGGGATTTCAATGGAGACCTACGCAAGTGACACTTTTTCAATGCATGCCTTTTTTGGGTTTTTTTTTAATGTCATTTTCCTTTTTCAGGGCACCGAACCGCGTCAGCTGATAAGGTGGACTGCTCGGTGTTGCGTGGCTTTTAGGCATACACCTTACGCGGTGGACTTTTTGAAAAATTTGGTGGGCTATTAAGTGAAGGTATAGAAAAGCTTGTTTAAAAAAAAAAAAATGTCCACATTGATATAGGCGTCCATTACTAGATTGTCAGATAGAGATAAACGCGTTGAGAGATTTTGGACACCGATATAGGGGAGAGCAAGGCTATTGGATAGATATCGAGAGAACAACTATTAGTGTAATAATGTGTGTGTGTGACACTGTATATGTTGGCCCTTTTGAGTAAAATGGAGTAAGTTGCAAACAAGGGAATGGTTTTAATGCCGTTAACCTAGTGATGTGGGTTGGCAAATCGCGGCTCGCTGGCTCTTTACTAACCTGAGTGCGGCTTGGCCAACCCGCCGGCCACTAATCGTTTTGATTTCCACATCAACACCAGTAACAGAAACATTGCAAATCCCATCTACATGCATATGAGCCAAAATGATCAATAAATTGATCGTGGGCCCTTAAGATATAGAAGAAGAAGAAGAAACACGGTTCTTGACAAAAAATTGGCTCTCAAATTGGCTCTGAAACTTTAGTTCCCCATCCTGCTGCTGATTTTTGGCTCTATTGACTAATAGGTTTGCCGACTACTCACCTAGTCGGTTAGGGGGTGTCCAAAAAGTACGTCACGCTCGGGAGGGGGTGGGGTGTCTAAGAAAGTGTGACGAAGGGTGACACGGAGAGGGGGTGGGGGTTTAGATCATAAATAACGTACAAATAAAATTAGAAATTGACCGGGATGTTCAACTATCTCTTGTGCTGGATGTATACTGAAAGAAGATGTTAATTAGTAGTGTCTAATTTTAATGGTGAAGTGTGTTTTAGATTGAACTTGAACTTTGATTAGTTGCTATTTTATGTTCATCTTTTCTTTTTTTTTTTTTTTTTTTTTTTTTTTTTTTTTTTTTCTTTTTTAAATTTTGGAAGAGTGGCGTACTTTGTGGGGGGGGTGTCCAAGATTTGTGATAGATTGTACCGTGGTGAGGAGAGAAGGGGGGGGGGTGTTGAAAATTGTCAAAAATAGCGTGACATATTTTATGGGCGGTCCTGTAGCCAATTTCCTTCTACTTGAAGTAAACTTTAGGTTTAAGAAACGTCATCATATCATAATGTATTATATTGTATCACATTACAATATTATATATCATATCGAAATTTAATGTATCATATTGTAACATTGTGTATCATATGGTATTATAATGTATTATATTGCAACATGTATCATATTGTATTGTAATATAACATATTGTATCATAATGTAACATTATGCCTCATATTTTATCATATCGTATGACATTCCGTAGGAGTGGGGTGACATACATGAATACAAAGGGTAAGAGTGCGAGTTGGCGAACCACCACATTGAAGTAATCAGTGGCGCAGGAAAGGGGTGCACAGGGAGCGGGCCGCCATATTCGGAAAAAAATGTTCTTTAAATGAAAGGTGGGTGGCATTCTCTGCCGAGGTTCGTTTCCCTTTCGTGGAAGAGGGTGGCAAAATTCAAGGCTCACCCCTGGTGGCGCTAGCCCTAGCTGCTCCAGAATGTTGAAAAAAAAGAGGGGGGGGGGATTACACAGAAAAATATGAAGGGGGAAAGTCTAATGTTAAATTCCTATGACCAACAAGATTAGGTGTAAACAAGTTTATTCTGAGGGGTATAATTGTGTCGATGCTTCAATAGCGAGAAAATGTATGTATTGCGACCAAGTGTACAATCATGTGTAAAATCATGTATGTGTGCGACTTTGTGTACGACATACGTACAAGCATTTGTATAACAGCAACCGTGTATTGACTCCCATGGGTACGTCCATGTAATTGAGAAGCTCGTATTCATCAACTCCTTGGCATCCGAAATGAGGAGGGAGAAAACCCGGATTACGGCTTCGGTGGGGTCCGGCGTATGGTCAACAGATCTGTCAACCCCACCCCATATCCATCACTGACCAGTACGGACCCACTAAATGACCATCTAATCACACGGTTCCCCGCTCTGTTGTCAGTTCCTCTTTGTCGATGTCACGATGCTCTCATCAAGGGAACAAACGCAGCCGTTATTTCCGTCCAGTTTTCAAGATGACCATTCATCCAACACTTTTCAGTTGTCTCCCATGTCTACCTATTATTAGCAAAACTGTTTTGTTTTTTTTCCTTTATGGAAATTTAAGTGTTTAGTAAACTTTAAGACTTAAATTTAAGCTTTAATACAAATCATTATCTTCAACTGTTCAACTCTTAAAACATTTATTCGTGATTTAGTTTTTGTTTGATTTCTTTATTTTTTTATTTTTTGTTTTGTTTTATATTTTTTCAAAACAAAATGCGATAATTTTAAACAATTTTTTAGATCAGCAAGTACAGAACGATGTTAGTTTCACTTATTATAGCTGAGGGCACTTGCTGACATTTAGCATGTGATTTGGCCTTTTGAGATGTCAATCGCGAAGAACGTGTGGACGTCTCTGAGAAAATCCCAGTAAGTAAGTCTCACGGACATTGACACAACAAAATAGCAATGGGGCGAATCTAAACAAATGGCTCTAAAAAAACCAGGATTTCAAAGACAGTTTCAGTTCCCAATGCGTGTGTAAGTAATGCACCGTCTGTTTCTCACGGTAAAATCTGGGCATGTCGAGCCTGCCAGGGGGACGGGTGTATAACTAATAAGCCGTGTATAGTAAATGGTCACGCACTGATGATTACGGAGGTACATACAGCGAGGCTGGGTTGTTGTTTTTTTCAGATAAGGTTTTATATGTGTATTGAGAGGCTTTAGGGATATATCGAGAGGCTTTATAGAAATGTATGAGAGGCTTTATAGATATGTATGAGAGGCTTTATAGATATGTATGAGAGGCTTTATAGATATGTATGAGAGGCTTTATAGATATGTATGAGAGGCTTTATAGATATGTATGAGAGGCTTTATAGATATGTATGAGAGGCTTTATAGATATGTATGAGAGGCTTTATAGATATGTATGAGAGGCTTTATAGAAATGTATGAGATGCTTTATAGAAATGTATAAGAGGCTTTATAGATATGTATGAGAGGCTTTATAGAAATGTATGAGAGGCTTTATAGATATGTATGAGAGGCTTTATAGATATGTATGAGAGGCTTTATAGATATGTATGAGAGGCTTTATAGATATGTATGAGAGGCTTTATAGAAATGTATGAGAGGCTTTATAGATATGTATGAGAGGCTTTATAGATATGTATGAGAGGCTTTATAGATATGTATGAGAGGCTTTATAGAAATGTATGAGAGGCTTTATAGATATGTATGAGATGCTTTATAGAAATGTATGAGAGGCTGTATAGAAATGTATGAGAGGCTGTATAGAAATGTATGAGAGGCTTTATAGATATGCATGAGAGGCATTATAGAAATGCATGAGAGGCTTTATAGATATGCATGAGCGGCTTTATAGATATGTATGAGAGGCTTTATAGATGTATGTAGATGATGCGTGGGGATTGAAATGAAAACCATCATTTGTGGACTGAATGATTCAGTGTAAATTTTTTTAAAGAATGTGCATGTATAGCTTTTAAAATTTTGAATTTGTAGGAAACCTCATTAAGGCATTGGTCTAGGTACGTCTGAGCAAATTTGGCACACAAGAATTCGGGTCCGAAATCAACTATGGACGTAATTGAACTGAAGGAAATATTAATAAGGAAAATAAAACATGATTTTTTTTTGGTTAAATGTAAAGGCTGGGGTCTGGTGGGTTAGAGAGGAATTGTTGTGTAAAACTTAAGGACAATAGTCTATTTCTTTTGGGGCAATACGTTATGGAAAACATGGTCTCATGTCGTCGTTGTCGCCCCCCCCCCTTTTTTTTTTCCCCCTCAACCTGGGCCTTAAAAAATACGGTCGAATAATTTTCAACAATTTAAAAAATCACTGAATCAAAGACCTTCTATCAGTACACATAACACGGTCCTTCCTTCTCATGTCGTCGTTGTCGCCCCCCCCCCTTTTTTTTTTTCCCCTCAACCTGGGCCTTAAAAAATACGGTCGAATAATTTTCAACAATTTAAAAAATCACTGAATCAAAGACCTTCTATCAGTACACATAACACGGTCCTTCCTTTATTTACATACCGCATTGAATATTATACCAATACTCCGCACAGTGCCAACACCATACATGTATATCCTGGGAACCAGCCAGCAGGTAAGCAAACGGAGAGTTCAGTCTAGGGGTGCTCCGATGACCCGGGGGGCCATAAAATCAAGTTTGTATTAAGGTGTGGGAAAGGTGAAAGGGGGGAGGTGGGGGGAATGGTTCGAGAGTGGGACAATATTTGGGTTGATCCGGTCTCTATCAGCCCCGACCTGAACGCGGATCAGGGAGCGATCATTTGGCTAATCTGTGCGGCTCATCTGTTAGAACGCTGGGTTATCTCCCCTTTAATTCACCATTTATTTCAATAACTGACTAGATTGATGGCTTCACTCATAATTTGTTATCTTTGGGAGAGATGGATCTCTTTTTCTTTCTGTTTTTTTTTTTACAAGGAAATTCACGACATAGGGGAGTGAAAGGGGACTTTTTGAGTAGTATTGTAGGACGTTGAATATTTGAGATTGTTCGTCTCACCTGATCTAAGCTTACAATTGGGATAATGTGTGGTATAGAGAAAAAAACAGATTTCAATCCATTTTACCAACTCCGTCCATTTATTATGTGTGTTAGATCACGGGTCTTGCAATCTCACGAATCACGACACTCCCAAGGGAAACAAGAGTATAGAGACCAAGCACACTCTGATGCTTTGTTCACAAGTCTTGTTCGGATTTCTTATTAGTGAAGCTATTGTCTTATTTGAAACACCTCTTCCGCTAAAAAAGAAATTTATGTTTAGATATCAAAGATACAAAAATGATTTTTTCCGAAAATGCTATAATGGCGGCCAGAAGGTAATCAGTCAGTGGAACGATACGAAAATGCTGGAGGTTGAAGTTTTTATGTAGAACATGTCAAAATGCCACATGTATTATTGCATATACAGAATGTAAAGATGATGTGTTCTAGGATCTCACATGTATTATTTCATTTACATAATGTAAAGATGATGTGTTCTAAGATCTCACATGTGCTATTACATTAAAGAATGTAAAGATGATGTGTTCTACGATCTCCCATGTGTTATTATATTAAAGAATGTAAAGATGATGTGTTCTCAGATTTCACATGTGTTATTACATTAAAGAATGTAAAAATGTTGTGTTCTAGGATCTCACATGTGATATTACATTAAAGAATGTAAAGATGTTGTGTTCTAAGATCTCACATGTGATACTACATTAAAGAATGTAAAGATGATGTGTTCTAAGATCTCACATGTGTAATTGCATTTACAGAATGTAAAGATGATGTGTTCTAAGATCTCGAATGTGTTATTACATTAAAGAATGTAAAGATGATGTGTTCTCAGATCTCGAATGTGTTATTACATTAAAGAATGTAAAGATGATGTGTTCTAAGATCTCACATGTGTAATTGCATTTACAGAATGTAAAGATGATGTGTTCTAAGATCTCGAATGTGTTATTACATTAAAGAATGTAAAGATGATGTGTTCTCAGATCTCGAATGTGTTATTATATTAAAGAATGTAAAGATGATGTGCTCTAACACATACCAATATTCAGATGCATGTAAGATGTCTTTTTAAGATCATGGATTCTCAAGATGGAGAATGTTGAATCTCAAGAGCAAGTTATCACGAAATTACGGGGGTCAAGAATTGCCCAAATACGGAAGCGCTGAATATTATATTATTATTGTTACTTTAATAGTGTACGGTACGAACAGTTTAATACAATTATTTGCATAAAATTTGGGAGTGGGGGGTGGGGTGAAAAAGGGGGGGGGTTAGAGTAAATTGGTTGAAACTATCATTTATATTATGTAATGGGACAAATGTACAAGTTACATGCTGGCCAAAGAAATACAATCTTAATATTACAATTTTTGAACTCAGGCCAATCAAGTACAACCAATGTCTCATGCCATTTTTTAAAGGAAATAATAATACAATCTTGGAATTTGCTTCCTTATCAAGTGTTTAGGTGGGGGAAAAAATTAGCTACTAAGTTTCGTATCACAAACAACGAAATTTCACAATTTTTTTTAAATTAAATAGATAATAATTTAAAATACATAATGCAATTTTCGCCTGTATGAAATATTACTTTATTGCAACAGTGCCCTCGTTTTCTTGTAATGAATTAAGTTCATTATTTAATACGCTGTCTGTATGTTAGGGGGGGGGCTTTTAAAATCTGACATAATATAGGGTGAAAACTATAAAACAAATGGAGCTAGGTAACTTTTTTTTTTTTGGGGGGGGGGGGCTGTTCAAAGACGCTTTATTTTTAGAAAAAAAATAATAATAAAACCCAGCGCTGTACCATTTAGTATAACTATCTATTACTGCCAGGAATTTATTTCAACAAGAATACACGTACTTTACGTGCGAAAATACGAAATGCGTTGAGAAATAATAAACGCACCTCAACTGCACTTTTACCGAATAAATTAATCAAGGTTCTGTAATTATGATCATGGTATGAATATATGTATACTTACAAATTGACGAATCTCCACTGCGTCTGTGATAATCCCCGTTAGTAAAAAAAGAGTCTAATTCAATGCAGGAATTAATATCTCTGTCTCTTGTGAAAATTCACAGCTCTATATCCATACTTCCTGGCACTTGGGGGCCACTAACCCTACGAGAGGTACCCGGGGGTAAACAACAAGTCAGAAGGTGCGACACCCTCTCGTCTCACTTCTACACAGGTAAACTAACCGACTTCACACTACTTCGAGCTCTCGCTTTCCCTCGATCCCCAAGTTTCCGTTTTCACGGGCCGAATTTTGTATTCCTGTGGGGGGTGTCACTTGCCAGTTGGGGCGGCCAGCTCTCCCTCCGTTCTAGGCGCTGTGCGCGCGACGCTCAGAGACGGACGCCATTGGTCGCAGCTTTCGGTAGCCGCTAGCAATTATTGACTGGCTCGAAGAGACGCGAGTTTTACACTCGAGCGAGGTTACAAAAAAGAGGAGATTGAAAAACTGGGGAAGGGTGGACTATTGGATGGACATCGGGGGTAGCCATGCGCTAGAAATGGACGCACTCAATCGAGTGACTTAGTGATGTGAAAGTGATGTTTTCATGAGGCGAGGACTAAACAAGATTTTGGCAGTCATCACTTGAAGATGACTTCTGTTCAACTTTGATGTCGATGAACATTGAAAATGATTTATGAGTAACCCCCCCCCTTCTCCTCCCCCTCCCCCCAATTCTTTTTCAGGATGAACTGTAAAGTATTTAAAGAATCCAATGATGGCATTAAACGAAACATGAATCAGAAGTCAGTTGATTCTTCTTCTTTTGCGAGAGAGAGAGTGAGAGGGGAAGAAAGAGAGAGAGAGAGAGAGAGAGAAGGGGGAGACAGAGAGAGAGTGAGAGAGAGAGTGAGAGAGAGAGGGGGGAAGATACTCAGCGAGAAAGAGTGATGGAGGGGAAGAAAGAGAGAGAGAAGAGGGAGAGAGAGAGAGTGAGAGAGAGAGAGGGGAAGAGACTCAGAGAGAGGGTGAGAGAGGGGAAGAGACTCACAGAGAGAGAGAGAGAGTGAGAAAGGGGAAGAGACTCAGAGAGAGAGGGGAAGAGACTCAGAGAGAGGGAGAGAGTTCATTTAAGGGTCACTTAATGGCGAATCATGCCTGCTGGCTTAAGACTCTCAGACTTAAAAACAAAAAAAAACAGCAACTTTGGTTCTAAAATGAAACGAATTTCTGTAAACCAAATTTAACACGATTGCAAAGATTTTAATTCATTAAAATTATAGTGATTCTCAAGTGTAGGTCTAATTGTGTTTAAAATAGTATTAATAATAATAAGGCCATGATCGCACATCGGAAATGAAAAGTTAGAAACTTATCATCACGTTTACGAATTTGTGTCCAGCGCCCAGTCACGTGCTAGTTACTGAAAGCGTAATGTAGCCAACCATTCCAACGTCAGAAGCGGGCTGGGGTGAGTCAAAGTGAGTCTTTAATTTCATAAACACGGCACGACCTAAAATATTTGGATTTCCTGGCACAACCATTTCACCACCACCCATAATCCAACCTACACCCACACACCCACGCACACAAACACCCACGCACACAAACACCCACGCACACAAACACCCACGCACACAAACACCCACGCACCCAAACACCCACACACCTACGCACCCAAACGCCCACACACCCACGCACCCAAACACCCACACGCCCAAACACCCACACACCTAAACACCCACGCACCTACACACCCAAACACCCACACACCCACGCACCTACACACCGGCAAGGACTATTTTCAAATAAATAACAAACTGAAAGTCTACTGGTTGACAACAGGGGCGTCATTTTAGTTTTTTATGCGGGGGGGGGGGGGCAAAAACCAAAACTTGGTCGGATTGTGAAGTTGTTTATTACTGGAGGCGCCACAGTACATAGCAATTTAAATAGAGCCTGCGAATTCAGAGGGTGGGGAATCCCCCCCCCCCCTTTTTTCCATGTCCTACCCAAATGACGTCCGTGGTTCACATGGGTATTTGAAAATATTTGACCCTTGAACTATTCTACAGCGTGTGTGATGCAATGAAATAAAGCTGGCCACTAATTAAAATATTAAATAAAAAAAGAAGAAAAAAAAAAGTTTTTTTATAAGACAATTACGTTATTTGAGTCGTGGCAGTACACTTTCAAACGAAGGAAATTTCATTTTTTCGTATTCTTAAAAAAAAATATAATCACTGAGAATTTAACAAACTTAAACCTCATCGCACGTCTTGTCTTTAATTTCCGTGAACTGACCGAAGACGCATTCATTTTTTGTCGTCGATAACAGACTTATTAAAGACATTTAAATGAATTACTTCTTACCTTATCTTGAACAAACAAACAAACAAAAAAAAACAAATAAAAAATAGCAACATGGAGACTAGGTTCATGAGAGTTTCCGTTAAACTGTTGATAGTTTGAAATCATCAAGGTCTACGGCGGTGTCCTCATTTCTTTACAATTCCGTCATCGCGTCTGCGAATGTGATACGTACACAATGATCCAATTCTACCAGAAGACGTTCCTAAATAAAAGTTAAAAATGGAAGAAAATGTCAATGACTCTAATTTTTGATACCTTTTTTACTCTCTCCAGGTTGAATTGTGGGTCAGACAGTTACTTACTACTCCGGGGACATGTTCAGCTCCGTCTTGACGTCACAGCAACTTTGGTTTAAACTTGATCACGTTAAATCCTGTTTGACGAGCTTGTCCGCGTGACCTTCCCCCCCCCCACCTCCCTGCCCCCACTCACATGCACAAACACACACACACACACGCACCACACACATGCATCCACACAGGCGGTAGATTTAAAAGTTATCAGTTTAAACAGTCTGCCACCGGATTACGCCAAAAGTTTCAAACTTGCCAGATTGACTGATGTGACGCGACTGACGTAATTTTTCTTTCGCAATTAAATAGTCTGGGGGAAAAGAATGGTTCTCAAAACAGTTACGACGGAACCGCTAACGTTTATGTGTTTTAAAAATTGAATCTGTATAAAGTATTTCATTGTTTGTGATGTCACCAGGGTATTAATTAGTTTAACTGATGTGATGCATCTCTATTTCTATGTATCTCCAACTATTTCTATGTATCCCCAACTATTTCTATGTATCTCCAACTATTTCTATGTATCTGCCCTATTTCTTACTATCTCTGGAGATCTAGATCTAGCGAAAGCGACGACAGAGCGGCAAATGCTTAGACTTAGACTCCCTGACCTTGCCTCCATTCTGTTGTTTCTTGTAAATCAAACATTATTAATAAAATAAAGTTTGAACTATCCGTGATTATATTACTCAATTTATGTTAAGTAGCTAAATATAAGTGATAAAAGATGGTAGTATGGCATTAGGATATTGTGATGTGTATAGATTCGGTCCGGTACAGTCCTCTGATGTTGAAGAGCTCCATGCAAACACCAAGTCCACGGATGAACACACCCCGATCTCTTTTCATTAAGTAGGAAGGCAATTACTTCCAGCGTTATGACTTATGAGACCTTGACTTGTGACTCATGACTTATTTCCGCCCAGTGGCTCGTCTATTAATATCTATATGATAAGAAGAATCTCTTGCATACAAATTGCAATGTTCAGGGGAGAGAAGTAGGGGGCGTGCGGATGGGGGGGGGGGTAACTCTGAACTGGTTTTAGGTGAACACCAGGGATTCAGGATCGTTATGTATGGAGTCATAGAAGGAGTAGCTTGACGAGTGTACACTGGAAGCGGTGCATTTCGCCAGGCAAGGAGTTTTCGTAGACAGGAGGAACGGGCACAGGCCGGTCATTTAAAGACATGGGCCGGGTATACTTAAAGACACGGGTCATAATTACAGATTGGGAACCCCCGAGGAGTTCTGGACCAAACGATCATTAAGAGACGAAAAGAACGGTGCAAGCCTTGTACGGTGCAAGCCTTGTACGAGGCCAGTGTGTGTTGTGGGACGGGAATTGCCGAGAGAAACGTTCCAGCTGACTTCACGGTGCAATCATCGTCTGCTTTTAATTAAATCCCAAATGATCAGATGGCGTATGGCCTACCGTGGCAGAAGACACGCCCATTTCGAGCCCGGGCCCTGGGCTTCATGTCTAAAATTATTTTAATATATTCATTCCCGGATCTCATTCTTCGCACCCCCCTCCCCACAAAAAAAAAGAGTTACATTATAGAATGAGAGTATACAAAATAATGATGAGTGGAGATTCAAGAAGATATTCAATCACTGACTCCTTCTTTCAGTTGGGCAGCACATACCACCCATCATTGAGGAGGAGATGGGCTGGGGGCAGTGGCTCATATTTCTTGTGATTCTCTTTCCAGTTCCTTGGAGACGCCGTGCTTGCTTATGCGCTTCTTATCAATTGACTCAAGGTTCCATTGTTTTGTGAGGTGACTTCTGCAGAATGCCGGGACTGACACACGTCTTCCCCTCTAAAACAAAAAAAAAGCCGCCCTAAAGAGCCCTCGACTTTGTTTCGTTCCTGACTGAAGTACGCCCTCGTTTCGAGATCTCTTCATTCTGCCGTTGGACAAACTTTTAGGGAGCGACTGACAGGCATTAAGTATCTTCATTGACCCCTGGTCTACAAACTACCGTGACCCCCTAGTCCACCAACCCTGGATGGGACCCAATTCTGGTTCTTTTGTTTACTTTTTATAGTCATCATAACCCGGCCTGGGGTTTAACGGTCCGATGATCGGCCGGCCCAGGAAAGTGACCGCTTCACGACTGCCACGGTGTAAAAACTCTCGGGTGTTTCAGCGTCGGACGCGCTGCGGTACGTGATGGGGGGCTTACTCCAGCGATTAACGCGTTATCTTGTGATCTCTTCTGATGACGCTGTTATGAGATTGAATCAGAGTTTATGCCGGAGAGGTTAATGACACGGAGAGGGTTGAAATAGGACGTCTCTTTACTCATGGGAGACATTTTAAAAAAAACTCGTGCATTTCTTACGACTTACGAGGCCCTTTGCAGAGAAATGTCTTGTTTTGGGGTCTAAAGAAAGATGACCAAAATGACCATGCATATTGTCAGCCGGTTCCTCCTCTATAACGGGACTATTTTTAAGGTTTTGGAACTCTATGACGCATAATTTTGTCAATTTCAATACTATGTGATGTCTATATTTTCGTAGATTTCAGCTCTATACGATGTCAATATGTGTAGATTTCAGTATTAATCCATTCCGTTATCAGCCAGAATTTCGCCTTGCATTTAAGACATTAGTGGGATCATGATTATGGCATACTTGCGTGACGTC